TTTATTCCTATTATCTTAAGCCATTATTTGAGGAACAACAACAACATTCTGATTAAAGTTTGTAATTTATCTGATGAAATTAAAATTTGGGTTCTTAATAAGCATGAAGACTTTTACATTTTGATTTGCCTTCCCAAAATAGATGATGAGCATGATGAGGAAAGAAGATAATTTGAAGATTCTAACACAATGTCTCAAGACATCAGCCAGGAACTTGAATCTTAGGCAAAAGTAGGACTTCCAAATTGACACTGTCTGCAAGTAGACAGCCAAATTAGTGACAAAGCAGTTTAAGAATAACAAAGTCAATATTTTGTTGTGGCCATCATAAAAAGCCCTTATCTGAGTCACATAAAAAGTTTCTTGTTCAGAGCTGAACACGTGTGTCAAAGCCAATAGGCCGAAGACCCTGACTGTAGCCAAAACTAATGGAATGATATCCAAAACAATTGAATCAAGTCATGAAGTTTAAAGGGTAATTTTGCTAAATAGCAAGGAAACTCTTGAACTGGAAACAATTAAAATCTATCTCGTTATTTTGGCAGATAGAATAATGAATATATTTTTGGCAATCCCAGTGGGCCCAAAAGAGAAAAAGCTTTGTCAAATGTTTTCAGTAGTTTTCTGACCCACATGCACATTTAATCTATGGGAAAAGAACAAAGAGGTAAGTACAGTTTATTTCACACGATATGTGAAACGTGTGACTGAGGAGTTTTCTTCAGGTTCACCAAGAAGTGGCATCTTGAAGAGAAGAGCATGAGAATCTTAACAAGGATTTGAATTACGTGGGAGGAGGCAGAAAGTTGGTAGCTTATGGCTTGGAAGATGGAGTGGGTGGCTGAGAGTAGGCAGGCAGGTGGAAATCAGGAGGACGCTGGAGGTTCAGAGAACAATCGTGGAGAGATATGCCCTGGAAGAGGTCTTGACGCTGGAGGCTTGCAGATGGACGCTTCGAACAAGAAAATTTAGTGTAGATGAGTTGACACGAGATAATTTCACTAGAGTATGCACAGGAGTAAGAGTGGTTAAATCTACTCAACAAGGTCAATCATCAGGTGAAGAGACATTGTCATGCAGCTTCTTAAATCCTAATGAGGTAAGTGATGCCACTGCCACTGCTCAGGAGGGAACGCCCACCTCTGGAAAAGGTTGACACACTCTCACAGAAGAAACACAAACACCCCAGAATCATGCAAAATTTAGTCTGATTCAATGTCAGACAGAGAGGAAATAAATGTATTTTTATACAACACAAACAAATATCTGGTTTGCGCTATACAAGTAAGACATTATCATGAATGAGCTTTTGGTTATGGGTAGTGCTGGTTCAGGTTATTGATCAAATATCTTGCACAATTAATATAGCTTTGGAAAGTGTTTAATTCAGTCCGACATTAAATTATCTTGCAGGAGGTGTGGGTATTTATATGCTCCTTTTAGCATTGATAGGAACACAACACCCAGGTTCACACGATAACTCTCAATGAGGGTATTGTGCTCTGAGTGTGGGAAGAAGATTCACTTTCTCCCTAAACAAGCAGGTGATTCACTAAGATTTATTCTCTCTTTCGTTTTTGTAAGTTAAGCTGATATGTTTTAGTATTGCCACTAAATATTTATCAGTAGAAATGATGATCTAAATTAGTTTTATATCATGTTATTTTTTGAGTTATATTTGATAAAAACTTTTTTTTTAAATTTCATACTTGTTGAACCTAATCAGTGTTTTCATATGAGCCAAATTCTTGCTCCTAATTCAATTTAAATATTTGAAAATACAATTATGAATGTATTTTGTAGGATTTACCCCTAGCCAGTTAGTGATAAAAAATAACTTTTGCCTCAGATTTTTCTGGGAATGTTGTAATAATCTTACAAGTAATTTTATATTAAAATTCAACTCAAAAATATTTTACTGATCCCAAAGTGAAATTAAAGTTTTTTGTAACTCATTCGATTAAAGATTTTTATGCATGTTTTTAAACTTTAGTTTTGTTGATTAAAGCTTTATTTGTTTTTATTGAGAGTTTCTTCTTGTTTTTTGATTTATGCCATTTCTGTTAATCATGTTACAAGATGATTAAAAATCTAGACTGATTTTTTAGTTAGTTAATTTTGTGCCTACTTTTGCTGGTCTATATTCTCAGAAGAAATGTGTACATCTTTAACTTTGGTGTGAGCAATGTAATGAAAGGTTGCTATGTGGAAGGTAAGATAACCTTTTATAAGCCAGTACTGGTTAATTTTACAGCATGTTAGAAATGCAACAGATTCCAAACTTCCGTATTTTATGAATGTCTGGAAGAACATCAGTGGGAAGGACAGCCTCTATGTTCAGACAGGCTTCCTGAAAAGATGAAATACAATGAACATGTTAACTAAAAGTATTTGTGTCATAGAAGAAGAATATCAAGAAATTTAAAGAAAAGACAACAAAAGGCTACACATTTCCAAACCAGAAATGTTCTATGGCCTTTGGGGGACACAACCTTTCCTTAACTTGCAGAATAAATCGTGGACTGCTGATTGTAAGATCAAGGAACAAATTTGTATTTTCCTCTTGCTGAGTTTGTGGTTTCTTTCTTTGCCAAGAGAAACCTCAACAACAGGGTGCAGCAGCGAAGATAAAGTATTTTAGCTCTAGGTGTTTTTTCAGGATTAAGTGAAAAGAGTACAAACAAAATGTTCTCATCAACCATCTTGAGCAAACCAAACAAATACCATTAAATAATAGTATGTTCCTAAGTAAACTCTAGTGCTGTTCATTTCAATATACACCTAAACTTGACTGAACACTGAAAATAAAACACAGTTACATAAGGTAAGTTTTTTTTTTTTTTGTTAGAGTACCCAAACATAGGAGCTAGGCACATAATACTGCAGAGGATTTTAATGAATAACCCGAGGGAAAACAGATAAACTAAACAGCAAAACATGAGGTGGGTTATAGATTCAGACAAATAAACAAGTCAGATGATTAGTGGAACATTAAATAGGTGAACCTGATTAACAGAAGAGAAAGTGTTGTAAAAGATCATGAACTGAAGAACTGAGCATATTCCTTATAAAATTACCTTGTGGATCACCTTGGAATAAATGATGAGGACTTTGTCCCACATTTTCTCTAATTATTGATGACTAACTTCAATGTGCCATGATGTATAAATAATGGTATGGGAACTTTTTATGTCCTTTTCCTTCGTTGCACCTTTATCTATAATGAGATTGTTCTGATCATTTGTAACATCTCCATGGACGACTTTAACTAAACGATGAGAATGTAGAAAAGTTGGGGCAATCCAACTAGGACAGAAAGACTGTTTTATCTTAAGCTCTATCAATATGATGGATGATCATGGAATGGAGAAAATGAATTTAAAAAATCCTATTTCTTCTCACATTTCAGAAATTTGGCACATCAACAGAATGTTAGAGAGAGATGATTAGAACTGTTGCCAGTCTTATGCAGAATATCAGTTCTTGTAGGCTACAGAGAGGCTCCGTTTACAGTTATTTGCATTAATATGTCTATTTGTTTGTGGTATTTCTACTGGATAGTATACAAAGAGGAACCTTGGAGCTACATATCATAAATAGTGCCTGTTTGATGACATGAAGCAGGTTGAAAAGGCTTGAAAATCAATCATATCATGAAGTTGACAAACAGTCATTGACACTGATCAGTGTTGAAAGGCTTAGCAAGACATTTCTATGGCTCACAGTCCACAGTGAGAGCTCTTATCACAAATGGATAAGGTGAACCGTCTTAGGAGTGCCAAGATTCAAGAGGTCACAAAAGAGCCCTGTAGTTTATAAAGCACTGCGGATCTTACTTGACTTAATTAAAGGCAGCTTTCACAATTCAACAGTAACAAAATGACTAGTTAAACTGGTGCAAAAAAAATAAATAAATAAAAAATTCAAAAGCTCATAAGAGGGCTGCAGTTAACAATGACATGGAAAACTATTTCAATTCCTGTTTGAATTGTGAAAATACAGATGTTATTGCCTGAAATGCAGTATTATATGATTCCCTTAATGTACACTTCATTGCTTGTAAAGGATGCACCTGCAGCTAAAAAAAAACACTCAGCTCTTTCTGCTTGACTTAACAACAATACAGTGTAAGGTTCATCTACTTATTTGTTATTTTTTTGAAAAAGCTATGAATAATTGAATGGAAAAAGGTGCTTATGGAAATTCTTTTCTACAGAACTTGAACCTGGTGAAGCTAAAACTATGCATCTTAAAGTATCATGTATAGAATATATTTACAGACATGTTTTTTAATCTTAATTGCCAAATGTAAATAGTCTTTGTTCAGTTTTGCCTTAATTATTGCACTGAGTATATTGTTCAGTACATGACTTTTTTAATGCATTTTTTCCTGTCTATATAATTCAGTTAATGCTTATTTGAATACTTAATTAGTTGATGATTATTTCAATAGTTGACTAATTATCATTAATACAATTTATTAGGCACTTACTTAATTTTTAGATATGGGACAAGAACCTTTCAAAAAAGAAAATCTAAATAAAAAATAAATCTGGAAGGGAATAAATTATTATTGCCAAACCTGATTTTAAATAAAATTGTCATTTTTTTTCAGCTGTAAATGTTGAGAGATTTCTCAACATATACAACACAGTGGGTGTAATTTGGCACCAGATAACCAAAACAATTATTAATATATTAAAGAGCTAATTTCTTCTGTAAATGATGTGGACACAGTTTGTAATAGTTCTACTGGTGTCGCTTCCACAGAAAAGCGATTTACATGTGTATTATCATAACACAGGTGAACAGTAAGCCATACAAGCCTTTTCTTTGGTCCCTGATCTATTCTTACAACTGATTCCCATCCTCCTGCTGTGTGAAATCACACACTGACCTCTCTTCCATCACAGTCTCCGCCCATTCGACGCCACGCCGACCTTACAACTGTCAGCACATCTGGCCAATGATAATTCAGCTTCCCATTTAAGGCACACCTCATTGCCCAATCACGTGTCGTAAGAGGCGGGCGCGTTGTGGGCCTGGTTTTCAGGTTTGGTTGCTGAGGTAAGCTCCCGTTTGAAATTTCTGACTTTTCTTTCACAATATTTTTATTCCCCATTGTGTGTTTGTGTAGACTATCGTTATATGCGGCTGGGTGATGTTGTTTCAGTTAAAATAAAGTGTGTTTGTCGGGTAACAGTCGCTCAGAGCTTGATCGGTGAAGCGCTGCAAAGTATCTCAAGCATAGAGAACAACGGTGATTTTTCAACTATGACAACCGTTTATTGATTCTGATCAATGGCTGTATCACATCTAAAAATGTTGAAACGTATAAAAGCAGCTGTGTCTGGATTATCACCTATATAAACAAGTTCACTCGTAAGTTTATATTAGAAATAGACATTTGCTTTGTTGGTCAGTGTATTATAACAAGCTGCTTTTATTTTTCTATTGTTTAGATTAATATAGCTAACTCTGACAGGTTTGTTTACATATGTTTTAGCCCGTTGTTGGTGGCTCTCAGCATGCTGACAAGGAAGAAACACGTGTGAGCAGAAACTTAACGTCCAGCACAGTCTGAGAGAGTAATTATCTGTTGTTTGCACAATGTTGTGCTACTTTCAGAGTGCCAATACACCCTGCTGTTTGAGGTGACTTAACTGCCGATCAGAGGAGACCACACACAACCACACCTCTTGTACAAGCAGACTTCTCTACCGGATGGTTTTGGACACTATGTGGAAGCGGAGAACTTTTTACGTTTGGCATTTTTAAACGGGATGGATTTTGAGAACACATAACTTTGGATATACGTTTTGTATTTTTGCTGTTGGGATTTTTTTTTTTCCCTTAAGTGGAGTTAATCAAGTTTGAAGCTTGCTTCTGGAAGGGAACTGACTTCAAGAGCTAAAATGGACCAAGCCAGCGGTGGGGAGGATCCCAACAAGCCCTCTAAAAAGAAGTCCAGTGAGGATGAGGGTAAAAACAAAAAGCTGGTGGGTATTCTAAGCAGATAACGTTTGTTGCATGAAATTTAAATTTAAAAGAGCCATTTGTAGAAAGTTAAAGCATCTGTAGAGGTACAGAACACTCTGTCAACACACAACATTAGGCTAAAGGTATCGATGTGTTATTATTATTTAATGTATCTCCTACAGAGTGGCTGTAATAGCAGTCAGAGTTTAGCAAATCAGATGCTGTTATGTTGAGTGCTTCAATTTTCAAGGCATTAAGTGGATCATGTGATCATCTTATCAATGCTTTTCCTGAAAGTTTTTTTTTTTTTTTCTTCTGAAGAGTGCTCTTGTTGTGACAGCTAGACCTGTATGCATCACGTGTTCATACATACCTTGTTACTGGATTACTTATTGCACGGTGCAACGCACGTGGTTATTGTGGGGCTTTTATTAACCCTGTGAGTGTGTGTGTGATTGATAAAGGGTGACCTTAGTCAGCTTGAGGGCAGTGTCTGTCAGATAACTGTAAACTTCAGTTGGCATTGGTTCATTTCTGGCTTCCACATCTGCTCGGCCTAGTGAAGTAATCTAGATATAGAGAGAAGTGTGCATATTTGAAAAGGAGTCCAACCTGAGTCTGACGTTAGTGGTTCACTGACTTTATCGAGCAGTTCCTTTCTGTCAGTAGATGTGGTTACAGTTGAGGTTTTTGTTATCGGTACTTTGCAAAGTTTGTATTTTCCAATATGATAACGAAGCAGGACATTAACAACGAAAGTAGAAATGGAGTACATTCCACTTGCATGTCACTTTACAGCCAGAAATGTCAATGGGTTTTATTCTTATATTGTTTAAAAGACTAACGCAAAGTAGTGAATTCTTGTGAGGTAGGAAGGCTGGTGTCCAGCAACTTTTACAAGTGTCTCTACTTTGACACAGCCAAGTCAAATTATTGGGTCATTAGTACAAATTTGGAGAACTTGACTGCAAACTGAGGAGATAATTCGGCCATTTCAACCAGGGACGCATTTAAAAGTTGTATTACACCGGTGGAGTTGAAGACCCCTGTTTTGCAATATAGCTCAAAATCAGAAAAATTGGATGAAAAGCAATTCTGAACATAAGATTTTAAAACTTGCCACATATTCTTAATTTGTCTGGAGTTTGACTGGGCCATTCTAACCCATAAAATTCCCACACCATAATGCTGCCACCCCAAAACATTTCACTGTGAGGAATGTTATTTTTGGGGTGCTGTGCACCGTTAGCTTTCCACCAAACATCCATAGTGGCCAATATAATTTATTTTTGTTTTCTCAACTGATTAAATCAACTTCTTTCACATGTTTTCAAACTTCTCCACAGCAATATCTTTGAGTTGACTTGGTCTTCTTGGTGCTGTTAATGTGGAAAAAGTTCAAGGCGTATGAATACTTTTGCAAGGCATTGTAATTGGAGTTAGTTGGTGTCAGGATGATCTAAAACCAACTGTTACCACATTAAAGACGGTGTTAAGCTGTGCTCTTTGTGGATGTCAAAACTGTAGATGTGAGTAATTGCACCATTAATATACTAAAAGCTTCCCATAGTGTTCTGCTTTTCTCACTAGGAGTTGGAGCGTGAAGTTACTGGGGAAAATCTGACTGCAGCTGAGTGGCATCAGTTCTTAGCTGCCGCTGGCAAAGCAGAAGCATGTGCTAAAATAACGTTTTCTGTTTCAGTACATCTTAAAATAGATTTGCTTATACGTGAGTTTTTATTTCCCTGAGTATTTTCCTGTGTTTAACTTTTGTTTTCTAAATGGCGAACAAACTGCATAGCTTTCTATCGGTTCTGAGAAGCACCACCTCTTGATGTGATTTGCTACAATTTTATCGACAATTTTACATTCAGACCATCAGATAGGAATCCTTTGTCAACTTTGAAGTAATCTGTTTGTTTAGCTAGCAATAATTATTGCTTATGACTGGATTGAGCCTTTATTTATGTGGGAAAGTTCCTTTGCATCAACTCCACGTCGGACGCTGATCCCAGTGCATTTCGCTGTCTGCTGATGGCACACTGTGGATTGCACTGCAGTGTGTGGACTAATGCTAAAGTCTCCACTGTGGAAGCAGAGCAGAGCAACTTCTATAGCAAAATTATAATTATCTGAGAAGTCGACTAAAGGAGTAAATTAAGCAAAATCTAATGGCACTTGCTTATGCTGCAGTCTCCTTTGATTCATGCACAAACATCCAGTCTGGATCCACGCCTTCACTGAGTTCATTCGAGGATGCAGTGGGTCAACTGAGGTCATTTTCAGTGTTTTGACATGGATTTCTTTGAAATTTGACAGTTCATAAGTACATCAGAGCATAAAGGCCGTTATAGATTCAAGACAAAAATAACGTGGTCTTAGAGGAGTAAATTTCTGCCAAAACAAATACATTTCTGGATTAATTTCACATATTTGCAAGAAAAAATAGGATATTTTCTAATATAATATATACAGCTATGAACTTTATTTTGTAATTATTCAAAGAGGGGCTAGTTTGTTCAAGAGTTTTCTTCTCTTTGCTCCCTTTTCAAGTCAAAAGTATGTGTTTGTGACTCAGTGACACTTGCTAAATCAGGTGAATAAATTTGTGAAATGTAGATAAGCAAGGAAAATTTTGCATTAAGCCAAAGATCTGTGAGGGAAAAAACACTTCAATTTATTAGACAAAAACTCTGAATTTATCAAAAATTTGTGGTAAAAATGTTAAGTCCTCTAAGCTTTAAGTAGTAAATATAGGAGATTTGCTTAATTCATATGCATTTCTGATTTTAATATGTCAGAAAATCTGAGTCCCAATACTAAACACTTATAACGGCTTGTTTTCATAGGTCAAACACCAAATATACCTTAACATGCAGTAATGTATACACTCTTTGTAGTACCACAGAAGCTAACACCCACAGTCTTCCTTATTTCCTCTCTTAGGACACGGCCAATCAGCATGAAGGAAAAAGAATGACGCTCCTGGATTGGCTGTGTTAAATAGCAACGCTCCATCTGCAAATAGATGATAATTCCATAGAAAAAAATCCATGAATACTGAACCACAAATGGGGGGAGTTTGCTGTACCTAGTGTTCCCAAGATGCTCTTTGTTGGAGTTGTCTTAACAGTTAGATTGTCCTGCTGCTATAAAAATCCTTGTTTGACTCCTTCACAATAAAAAACAAACAAACCAGAAAACAATGCATTTTCCAGGATTATATTAATCTGAGGATTACAGGGCGGTGCTTGTTTTAGCTTTGGAGTTGGCTGCACCCGATATAGTCACTCTATTGTAATTGTTCCTTGATAATCCTTTACAATCGGTCACAAAATTGTTTTGTTTCTCTTCTTTAAGTGTTGTGGCCTAAGTAACTCCAAAAAGAACAACTACGGAGAATAGTTTAATCTTGCTCTTAGTGGCTTAATGTATTTGTGATTTTTAAAGACCTTTCTACATATTTTATTTTTGCATGTACAATAGCTGGATCTGGTCATTCAGGTCGGACCAGTCGTGCTTAAATCTGTCTATTTGCACTAGAATCAGCCAGGATTCATGTCAATACAAGGTCTGAACAGGCCTACAGAGCGACTAACTGATTGAAAGTGGCCAGGATTCTTGTGGAGATGCATTTACGCACCATGTGTGAAAACGCTCAGAGTACCCATTTGTAAACAGATCACCCCATATGTGTGATAAGACCACAGTGAAAAGGGCAGCGCTACCACATGACTCGGTCTGGGAATTTATGAACATCTTGACTGTTAACTTCTACTCCTCTAATGTGGTGTTGTCAGCTTGCAGTAAATGGTTTACAGGCGCAAAGTCGAGACAAAGTTTGGCGATAAGATGTGCCAGACAGGAAATCCCAGACTGAGCTGAAGTTGCATATTCTCCCAGAGCTAGGGTGGTGTTTCAAGAAAGTGTGATGACTTCACCACCTATATCACTTCTGAGGAGCTTGTGTAAGACGGGCAGTTTTGGTTTCTGAAGGCAGTCTCATGGCCAGGCATGTTCCCTGTTGCTCAATCTTCCTCTAGTCTAAAGTATAGCTGTTTGCAGAAACCTCAGCAGAGCTCTGAATTGAAGGAGGAAGTGATCATTCATCCCTGGGAGGAGCCTTGATTTGTTCTCCTCTGTTTATTCCCACTACAAGTCGCCTGTTTTTTGCACCATAGTTTGGTTGTAAACATGTAAAACTCATGAAACAAAACATTTAAATCTAACAGATTTTGATGGTTTCACATGTCGTAACACAGATGAGTAGTTTAGACTGATAAAACAACTCAAGAAGTTACCAAAAGATTTGGGGTTAAATACTTAAAATGCCATGCAGATTCAAGAATAAGCTAATGCCCCATCATCACACACTCATTTCTGCCTAAAGCAAAGTTAAAGTCGGGCTTCAAGGGAGAAGCTTCGAGAGCTGAGTGTTTATTCAACAGGTTTCTGTGCAGGATTACATCATTTGGATTACGAGGCCCCACGTTGCAGAGACTCAGCCAAGGACAATCGCATAACTCTTCAGTGTTTTGAGAGAAACTCGCCTCAAAACCTGCCAGTTTTCTGGAGCCGTTTGTTTCCATACTGTTATTGCAGCGATAACGTGGCGCCGTGCCATTCATTGGAGCAGGAAGATGGAATGAGATCTTTAAAAGGAATTTAGTTGTGCTTGTTTGGCAAGAAGGGAGAAATATGTCCTCTGTGCATACCAGAGTAAAAGATGACCTCAGAGTGCAAATTGAGAAACGGATACCTCCCACTCTCTTAAAAAAAAAACAACAACCAAAAAACAATTGGGCTGTATATTTTTCACTGTGCTGGATCATGCATACTTGTAACCTACAACATCAGTGAAGAAAACAGGCATTGGATCCATTCTTATTAGTTTTAGATAAAACAATGATGATGACTTTTCACAGCTTGTCAAATCTGGTCTCGAATCTCATAACTTCTGTCTCTGCTTAGGCATGAATTAATTTTCTGTGTTGCATATACTAATGCTAAGGAGCATTAG